CCTACCCTGCCAGCCCCCCTCACAAGCCACCACTGCTCCATCCCCCTTGCCAGGAGTCAGATGTGGGGCCCCTTCCCTTTTCTGTCTCACCCTCCCTCCCCGTGATCTCGGCCGTGATTTCGAACCCCTCTTGATCACCAGCCCTGACTTCCTCCCTGAGCTCCAAACTTAGGTATCCAACCACCTGCTCCACGTGACAGACAGAGTGAGGTCTGTCCTCTGCCTCCATATGGCAAAGCAGAATTTTCCATTTACACTCCCCCACGGAGCCTGTTCTACCACATCTTTCCCTCCAGGGAAGGGGTACCGACCCAGGTGTTCAGTCCAAAACCCAGTGAGTCATTCTTTCCCCATTCAGACCAAATATGACAGTCTTTAAATAAGTTTTTGTTGTTTTGTCTTGGTTTTTTAAAGACAGAGGGGCGTCTGGCTGGCTCAGGCAGGAGAGCATGCCGCTCTTGATCTCTCGGGGTTGTGAGTTTGAGCCCCACGTTGAGTGTAGAGATTACTTGAAAATACAGTCTCTAGGGTACCTGGGTGGCTCGGTCAGTTAAGCAGCTGCCTTCGGATCAGGTCATGATCCCAGGGTCGTGGGATCGAGCCCCACATCAGTGTCCCTGCTCAGCTCTCTTCTCCCTCTCCCTCTGCCTACTTGCTATCTCTCTGTCAAATTAAAAAAAAAAAAATCTTAAAAAAAATACAATCTTTAAAAGTAAATAAATAAAAAAGAAGACAGAGAAGGAAGAAGAAGGGGACAGGGAGGAAGGGAGGAAAGGGGGGCCCCCTCACATCTAAATGCAACCTTTCCCCCCCCCCGACCCCTAGCCTCAAGACCCCGTCATCCCCACCCCGGGCTCCCCTAGGACCCCAGGACCCCTCACCCACACAAGTGGTTCCTGACCCCCATACACAACAGGGTGGACCCCCCCACCCCGCTCCCAGTCCACGTGGTACTGACCTGGTCAGTCTGTGTCCACACAGACACAGCCTTCTCAGCCAGTGGGCCTCCCTCCACTCCCCACAAGGTCTGTTCCCCACATCGGAGGAAGACCCCCTCCCCAGGGTCATGGTCCACCGCCGGCGTGGTGGGGGTGGCAGGAGAGAGACCCCCTCTGGCGACACAGACAGCAGCTTGGGGCTGAAACCTACCCCAGGCCGAGGGCCCAGCGGAAGAGGCCGGCCAATCCTCCCAGCACTGCTGGCCCCGGGTGGAAGAGGTTGTTTCCCAAACAATCTTGGATTGAAGGAGGCTGAGTAAACCCTGCGCCTGGGGAAAGCCCCTCCTGGGCTCCAGCCCCAGCCTGAGGGTCCACAAGGCTGACCAAGGATGGGCACAGGTGGTCCGGGCGCTGTCCCAGATAAGTGAGCCGGCTGCGTCACACCGGTGCCTTGGCCAGATGCGTGGCTGGTAAATTCGGGCCCATAAGACAGTTACGCACCCCGTGGGCCGGGCAGGTGTGTGTGGTGTGCAGGTGTGGAGAGGATGTGCCTCGGCGTGGGACAGCAGGAGTGACAGCAGCAGTGCTGCTGGCCGCTTCTCTGCCAAGTCCAGATGTTTCAGGACCACAGTCCTTCCAGCCCAAAGGGGCCCGGGGGGCCCATGCCCTCTGCAGGACAGGAAAAGGCCAATTGTGACGCCCCCCCAGCCCCACCCCCAGGCTCCAGGAGGACAGCCCAGCAGTGTGCTCAGGGCCAGAGAACAAAGATGGACAGGCAAAAGGCACCTGCCCCTCCAGCTGCGTCCCTCTCAGGTTCTCCAGGTTCCCTGGGACCCCACACACTTCCTGGGCTCTGTCTCCAGGAACCAGGCACCTGGCCAGTACCCATTGCCTCAGGATGGTCCTGCGACCCCAGGAGACACTGTCACACACAATCCCTCCCCAGATGGTTCTGGAGGAGCCCCCCACCTCCACCCAGGCCCCATCGGCCCCTCCTTTCTCTGAGCCCCCCACCTCGGCCCAAGCATGCACTGGGGTCTCCCAGCCAGGGACCCCTCCTCAAGCCCACTCAGGGTGCACAGAGCCCTAACGCCCACACACCATGCAGGGAGATGTCCTCCAGGACAGCCCTGGGTGGAAGGTCACTGGCGAACCCCCAGACCCGCCCTCAGATCCCAACCCACGGCCCTGCTGGAGCTCCTGCAGGCCGAGCCTCCTCCTACGCCCGCAGCTGCCACAGCCCTCTCCTCTCCTGGGGAGCACTAGAGGGGAGATGGGGGCTGGCGTGGGAGAAGCTGGTGGTAAGCAGAGCCCCACACATCTCTGCTTCTCCCCGTTAGCACCGCAGACTGGCCCACGGACCCCACATCATTGCTTGGCCCACGCTGCTCTCCAGAATTCTGCTTCTATGGGTTTCCATGCCCTGCCCCTCCCAGGTCCCGTGAACGCTCCCCCAGCTGTGCACCCCTTCTAACGCCTCCAGAGCAAGACCACAGAAGGCGCTCAAGTTCATCTGTGGCTCAGCCCACTCTCATCTTTCTTTCCTGGCCAGAGAGCGGCAGGAAGCACTGCCCAGGAGGGCTCAGCCCCATCCCCTGCTACCCTAGGACTGGGAAGGCACCTGTAGCCCACAGCCCACTCCCAGAGCCCTCCGAGACCCCACCATCCCAGACACACACACACACACACCGCAGAGCCTATAGCCAAATACAGGACTTAGGCCTTTTCTGTTTGTGAGCTGGGCCTCCAATGGGTCTCGAAGGCTGAGAACCCATGAAATCACCTGGCTCTGGGGGCGCCCCACTTTGTAGGAAGGGTGGGGAAAGGACACCAGGTTCTGTTGTCCTTAATTCAATCTCCTTCCCTTTCTTTCTCTGCCTCTTGCTCATTGTCTCTCAATATCCTTCTCAATCTCTCCCTACCATTCTCTCACTCCGTCATACGATGTCTCTCTCTCTCTCACCATTGGTCCTGATCAGTCTCTCAGGCTCTCTCTCAAACATGCACTCACTCACGTCTTTCTCAGTATCTCAAGGACACTCTCTCTCTCTCTCTCACATACACGCACGCACACAGAGCAGGGGACCCAGCACTCAAAGGTCTGCTCTAGGCATGAGGACTGAACCGGGGCCCCAGCACAAAGGCACGCGTGGGAGTACCCCCGGGACACCCCTGCACACACCTGATATGCAGCGTGTACAGCATCGGTGTGAATCCCTACTCTTAGGTCTTTACATCCCACCTGTGGCTCCTTCACTGGGCAACTAAGGCTGCCCTTGACCTTACAAACCAATGGGTAGTGGGGTCCTGAGTTGAGACCCTAAAGGTCAGAGCAGCATGGAGACAAGAATGAACGGCCAGACAGATCCCAGCCTGGAGAGCTCACTGTCTAGTGAGGAGACAGACATCAACATGATGCATAAAGTACAGCAGTGGCCAAAGGCACAGTTGGTGCTACCAGGGGCCAACATCCGGGAAGACATCCTAGGGGCAGGTGGGTCTGGCACCCAGGGCTGGATGGTCATGGGTCATCTGCCTAGGTCAGAGTCTGGCTCCCATACTGCTCCCTCAGTCTCAACAACCATCAGGTCCACATCACTCCTGAAAACAGCCTGGAAGATGCTGCTTTTGGAAAACAAGCTTGGAGAGCAGGGACCCCAAAGTCTGGGTTTTCAGTGACATGTAATGCCTGGAAGCCTGGTTTATTCCTGTGGCTGAGAGCTGAAGAAGTTAAACAGGAAGGAAAATGTTGAGCAGAGAGTGGATCCAAGTAGAGGGTAAGAGACAGTGGCAGTCACAAGTCCTGACTGAGGCAATATGGAGCCCTGGAGCCCACAGTGGTGGTCACGAGTCCTGACTGAGGCGATAGAGAACCCTGGAGCCCAGAGAAAAAGAGCCAAGTATGGCCAGAGATGAGGTCACTGCCCCCTAGGGTCGCGCATTCCCTTGCTCCTGACTTGCCACAAAGCACAGCCCATGAACTCAGAGTGCGGCTCCACACTGTAATGACTCAGGCCGGCTGGATAAGGGAAGCCTGGTACCCAGGCTGCAGCAGGTGTGCAAAACGATGGCCACCTCCACAGCACACACAAAGGAAGAGAAACGAGCAGGGCTGAGTTTGCAGCAAGGAGAAACCAAGGGCAAAGCAGCTCTGACATCAGAAGCAAAAAAGAGGGCAACCAGAAGAAAGCTTTGCAGTAACTGGGCTGGAAAGCAAGAGTCCAGCTCAAGAGTCAGAGAAAGCTGGAAAGAGCCTCCCGTTCCTGAAATGTACTCTCTCTTGTCCCGTTGAGATCACCGCCTCCGAGAAGGCACCCCATCTTGTTGAAGTCCCTTCTCAGAAAACACCCACCTCCCCATCCCAGGACAACCTCTGCGTTGAAATAAATACTTGGTTAATGCCAAACTACCCGCGTATTTGCCGCCTCTGCCCACCAGGGGCCCCCCCAGCTCCAGGCCTCAGCCCAGCTGGCCCCCAGGGGCTGCCACTTCCTCTCCAAAGAATCCCAAAAGGCAGTCGGAAGCAAAGGCAACATTCTGATTCCTACAGCCTTGCTTCCAGGGCTGTGACCCCACAAGCAAAGAGACCACATATAATAGGAGAGGCCAAGAGCAGTAGCCAGGAGCAGGTTGTTCCATGTCTCACCCGAACCTCACTGGCATTTCAGGCACAAATGGACTTAAGTCAAAATATCCCACTGATGGTTTATCATGACTCGGGGTCTCTTGCCGCAGGGACCACCCACAGGTGCAAATCCAACGTAAATCACCGCTGAGAGGTCCCAGCTTCCCAGTGCTGATGTGTCTTTCAGAGAAAGAAAATCAATCTGCATTTTCCCAAACCACATTTCATTAGGTCACTGCTCTTCAGACACAGACACAGAAAAAATCCCACATTATTCCGAATTCTGAAAAGCAAAAAAATATTTTGAGATTTTAGAGGGATTTATACGAAAATAGTTAAAATACGACCTTGTTACCGCCTGAAAACTAGCTCTATGATCTCCAAAGAGGACACTTGTGTGTTTCTTGTCATTTTTCTAAGAAATAACAACCGTGGGCCAAGTTTTTAGAAGAAAACTATATTCTTTTAAAGAAAATGAAAACATTCTCAGAGGAAAAACTTAATTTAAGTCAAATCATACGCTTTTGTCGTGGAGCCTGATACGCAGAGCTTTCCTGCAACAGGTGTTCGCCCCTGCCACGCGGACAGGGCGCCCCCTCGTGGTCTCTCTTGACCCAGAGCCCTGTGGCTGGAATTTGCGTGAGAAGGTTCTTTTCCCAAGGCTGAAGGAGGGCGAGCGGAGGGGGTCGGAGGGAGGGGCGGTCCCCAAGCCAGGAGCCAGGGATGCGAAGACCAGGCGGGATGGTGGCTGAAATCACCCATCAGAATCCCTGTGACCAAATCCCACTGTGGCCAAAGGCAGGGCTCCTTTACAGCCCCCACTCCCCGAAGGTGTCATTCTTCACCCCCTCCTGTGACCCCGCCCGCACAGGACACCCTTCCCACCCACCAAAGGCTCTTACGAGACACGCAAACACGCGTGCCCCCCCGCCAAACCCCGCCTGCCAGCCCACCCCTGCCCCCCAGGGGCGGTCTGAGACGGGGGACCCCTTCTGAACCGGGAAACGGGGAGGGGCGGTCCTGCGCCCCGCGCCCCTGCACTTGGTCTGGGAGCCTGCCCGAGGCCGCCAGGCGCAGGGGCCTGGGAACGGAAGGCTGGCGTGGGGTGGGGGCAGGCGGGGGCCGGGCAGGAAGAAAGGAAGCGGCCAGAGGAGGCACAGACGGTGAATAAATAGAAGCAGCTCCGCCGCGGGGCCGGCCCCTCGACGGCAGCTCGGGGGCTCGTGGGTGGGGGTGGGGCGGCAGCCGCGCCCAGGGACGCGGAGCTCGAACGCTGACCGGGTCCCCCTTCCCGCCCGGGCGCGCGCTCTCGCACACGCACGCACACGCACGCACGCGCGGCCCCCGCGGGGCTCCCCCACCCTCTCAGAGCTCGGTGACGTGCACTGCAGGTGAGGGAAGGGGGCCGGGCCGGAGGCGCCGCAGGTGGCAGCGGCGGCACAGCAGGTGGCCCTCCAGGGGGTAGCAGCGGCGTCCGTCCTCCCCGCTCAGCTGCAGCCCGCAGTCCTAAGGAAGAACACAGCCCCGACCCCGGAGTAAGCAAGGGGGGCACGGGAGGGCACAGGAGTGTAACGGGGCGGGGTGGATCTCTGGGGCCCGGTGCGACTTCCGAAGGACTTAGGCTTTGATTGGGTCGGGGGATCTGGAGCCCAGTGTCGGCCCCAGCCAACGCAGATGCCTCTCAGACTTCCAAAGGGTGGTTGCCGGATACCCCTCTGGAATCTGCTGGAATCCGCGGGAGGGCTGGGCCGTCCACGGGGGTATCAGCCCAGAAATGTGATGATGGCTTTTAACAACAACCAACCGACTGGGGCGCTGGGGTGGCTCGGTTGGTTGAGCCTCTGACTCTTGATTTTCGCTGAGGTCATGATCTCAGGGTGGTGAGATCGAGCCGGACATCTGCTCATCCCTCTCCCTGCTCATCCCTGCTCCCCAACCCCCTGCTCACTCTCTCTCTACAATAAATAAAATCTTAAAAACAACAAACAACCGGTTATGTCTCTCAGGCAGTGCAGATAACTAGAAAAGAGAAGGGGACCCAGAGCTGAGGCACAGAGGCTCCCACACCAAGCGGAAAGAGGAGGAAGACTGGAGCCAGAGGGATTTGAGGGGGAAAATAAAAGGAAAGCCGAAAATAGATGGTCCCAAGGGCACAGTGAAGAGAGTCACGGAGGGAGGGTCAGAGTGCAGAAAGCCACTGAGAGGTCAGGACAATGACAACTGAGAAGTGTCTCCTGGATCCCACCACATAGGGGTCATTGGTGACTTGGGGGAGGGGACGGGGGTCAGGTATCTGACCGTAGGACCCTAAGAGATGGAGGAGAAAAATCGGGAGAGATCCAGTAAACAAGGAGTTGTGCTTTCTGTCCCGTGCCTTACCATTTGACCTCTACAGTATACTTTATAGGCGAACTGCCTCTGTTTAACAAGTTATGAGATTCTTACTGGACCTCCGTAAACTTAGGCTGGCAGGAAGCGGAAAGGGTAGCGTGGGGAGTGCGCTGTCAGGACTGGGGCAGGGCCGACTGCCCAGCTTCTTCCTTCCTCTGCCCCCCAGCCCAAGGAGACCCCTTCCATCACACTCTCATCACATCCAGGGCTAACCTGCTTTGGCACTTGGCCCCCAAAGGCCCTGAGACCAACACCTGCTGTCCTGCTCCACACAAGTCACATCCCAGGAATCGCCCTGTCCTGCCATCAGGCCCTGCTGCTAACCGCCACATGCCGGAGAGGGGCCAGGCAAGAGGGCCCGGACACCCTTGCTCCTGGCCGAGGGTCTCCCTGGGGGCAGTAGCCCCGAGGCTCTGGCTGTGTATCACCTGCCACTCGCCTTGTTCGTTGGCTCTCAGCATCGACCCTCCCTGTGCTTAGTGGTCCCAGCGGGATCCCATGGTCCTCAGGAAGCAGACCGGATCCCCTGGTACTGTCAGAGGGGACACCGAGGCCCTTCTGTAGGCCATGTCTCCTCCTGCTACTCCTTCCCTGGTCCCCCAGCAGGATTCTAGTTCCCGCTGGGCCACCCGCCCCAACGAAGGCCTCCTGGGTCCAAGCAGACCCTTGACAGTTACTGAAGATTTCTCATAGACACATCCTCCTGCTTTGCACTGGGGCCCTAAACCCAGCATGCTTTTCTCGGTTCTTCTCCTACCTCTGTTCACTCATTCTTGGCCTCTCCGTATGGCTGCTTTGCCTCCATGCACCCCCTAAATGTTGGTGTTCCTTAAGCTATCCTGAACCCCCACTCCTGCCCCCACGGCTCTCCCTAGAAAACTTCGTTCACTCCCCTGGCTCCAGCTTCAAGTTCATGATGGGACTTAGGCGTCCAGCCATGACAGTAACAAGGACTGACTCTCCCATCCTACCTTTAACAATGAAAAACCAGGTCAAAGATAAGGAACACTGATTGTCAGACCTAGGATGACAGACGAGGGAGGTCAGTGATCTCTGAGAGAAGGCAGATTCGTGAGGTGAGCCCTACAACTGCCCCAAGTTACTACCTGAAAAAACTGCCCAAAGAGGGCCCACGGGTCTCCTTGCCCTGGGAATCTGGGGAGGCCAAGGCAATGAGAAACCACAGGGCAGAGTATCAGAGAGGAGAGAGAGCGATGTGTGCCTGTGACTGCAGCCAGAGTCTTTGAACTCCAGCACGTCTAGCTGCCCCAAAGGACATCTCCACTCAGGTGTCCCCAGTGTACTAAGAGAGCAACTCTCCCTTCCACCTCCCACCCTCAGTCTCTCCTGGGGTCCTAATGGACACCTCCTAACCCCTAAACTGGCACATCCAGTCATGGCCCAAGTCCAGTCCCTTCTAAAGCACAACTCAGTGCTCTACCCTGAACCCAGGACCACAGCCTCGACACCACCAGTCTCCGTCCTCCCCACAGAACCCCAGCCCCACGCTCTCTTCCTCTATTCATTCTCTGCCTGGCATAGAGAACCCTTTTCAAAGTGCTCATGCCACTATGTCATCCTTCTCGAACATTCTCCACCTCGGGATAAGTCCACACGCCTCAGCTGTCATAGCCCTATGTCCCCCGCTCCTGCCAACTTCTCGTGACTCAAAACAACACAGTCACCTTCACCTGTAAGCATGTTCTGCTTCCACTGCCTGGAAGCCTCGCAGCCTCCTTGGATAACTCATTCATTCTGCAAATCTTAGCTCGGGCCTCACTTTCTCCAGAATGCCTTCCCTGATTCTCCAAGGCCTCCTACGCCCTCCGACAAGTCACCCCAATGGCAATACTGACCCTATCCGGATACTGCCCAAACCCTCACTGCCGCCCTAAGAGTGAAGACACCTGATTTTTTACTCTCTGCACACCCCCAGCATCCCCCACACCGCAAATCTTAAGTAAATATGTGACTGGAGAGCGCCTGGGTGGCTCAGTGGGTTAATGCCTCTGCCTTCAGCTCAGGTCATGATCCCAGGGTCCTGGGATGGAGCCCCACATCAGGCTTTCTGCTCATCGGGGATCCTGCTTCCTCCTCTCTCTCTGCCTACTTGTGTCAAATAAATAAATAAAATCTTTAAAAAAAAATATGTGACTGGGGTGCCTGGGTGGCTCAGTGGGTTAAGCCGCTGCCTTTCAGCTCAGGTCATGATCTCAGGGTCCTGGAATCGAGTCCCGCATCGGGCTCTCTGCTCAGCAGGGAGCCTGCTTCCCTCTCTCTCTCTCTGCCTGCCTCTCTGTCTACTTGTGATCTCTCTCTGTCAAAAAATATGTGACTGGATGGGAAACAGGGGCTGAGAACATATTGGGGAGAAGGGAGAGGGCACCCTGGGGAGGGCGGGGTGAAGGGGGCAGAACCATAGAGGAGGAGGCCAGTCCACAGAACCTGTGAGAAAAGGAGCTCCAGGTGAAGAGGGGAGCCACCAGCATTCGGCAAGGGGGGGGGTTGGGGGGCTGTGCTCACCTCACAGTGGTAACACTCCACGTGGTAGTCTCTGTCCATGGACACCACCCGGATGGTGGTCTCACAGCCCTGGAGGATGAGACAGGGTTTGCATGCGATCAGCACCCCAGGGTTTGAGGGGCACACGCCTACACAACATGGGCCAGCCCAGCAGACGTGTGTCCGCGCCCACGTGAGCCCTGACTACTGTTTCCATGAGCAGGACAGAGGCAGTGGGGACACACGTCCGGACATCCTGGTGCAGCTGTGCCCACAGCATGCACACGTGTCCACGAGGGCGGTCACAGGGGCAGTCACGGGCGTCAGCGCGCACACACGCGTCCTTCTCTGTTCTTTGCCATCAGGGAGGACCGTGGCCCAACCTACTGCTCCCGGCACAACGGCCTGGGGCAGAACCAGCAGGCGTGGGAGCAACGAAGCCAAGAGAGCACTGTCCCACCCCAGGCTGCATCTTTCTCTCACCTGTTCTGCCCACCACCTCGGCCTGCACAGCTAACAGACCCCAGGAGCCAGCCTTCCATCACGGGCCATGGAGCCCAGGGCCACCATTCCTCTCTGACTCATGTAGGGATGCCTGGGCACTTGTGGGCACAGCACAGCCCTCGGCCCTGAGGGATGTGGGGCAGGGGCATCTGCTCATCCCTCCCAAGATTGGGGGCCAACCCCAGCGGAACCAGGCCAAGGCCAGGCTGGGCCAGGCACCTGGTCATCACCCGATGAGTGGCTCCTACCTGCGCAGGAAGGATAGGACGGGCACAGGAGGCACATTTTGGCGCAAAAACCCTGGAGGGATAAAGGAAACCAGACGGGACCAGCTGAGTGGCCAAAGGCCAAGGGCACCAAGGCAGACCCCCCCCACAGCATCAGGACCCCTTCCCTTGTGTGGACACACACTGGGCTGGGCGCAGCCTCTTTGGTGCCTTCTTGGCCTTTTATCTGGCTCCCCAATTCACGTCTGCCCCATCACCTCCTCCAGGATGGCTTCAGGTTTTCCCTACCCTCTCCCTCATGCTCCCTGTGAGTTCCCTGTCCCCTAATGTCCAGGTTTGGGCTAGGACCCCTGTGAAACCTGGCTCCATACTGAGTTCCATGGATCTGCACAGGACACCCACCCAGTGCAAGGCAGTAGCTGGGGACCAGAGCTCAGAGGGCCGGGCCTGGAGCCCCAGCAGGGGACAACGGATTGGCTGCTCATGTGGATACCCCGACAGGCAGGGAAAGGACAGCCACAGAGACTCCAAGCCCCCCCCCCTTGGGCAGAAGGGGCCTCGCCTGCCCTGGGAGTGGAGGGACAGATGTGGGCGGGGAAACCAAGGAGTCCCGCCCCCATTAGGAGGAGAGGGAACATGCAGGCAAAGGCAGGGAGAGGAAAGAGACTGGGAAAGAGAAGGCTGGTGGCGGGATCATCCCAAAGAGGGCTCGCCTTGCCCCAGCCACTGCGTGCACAGGGGGAAGCTGCAAGTGGCAAGGCCAAGAATGGAGGGCACATGGACAGGCCGGTTGGAAAACTGCTTCTGGGGTGGCAGGAGACACAGCGGGAGTCCCAACTGCCCCCCAGCGCTGGCTACTCACGTGTGATAGTCCCTGACACAGTAGATGTTGTTCTCCACGTCCACAGTGAAGGGCACCCCGTCCAGGCACTCGTTGCACACTGAGCACCGGAAACAGCCTGGGTGGTAGGACTTCCCAAGGGCCTGCAGGATCTGGGGGTGGGAGGCACTGAAGGGTCAGTGCAGACGGAAGGCTCAGCACAGCCCCCGGAAGAGGCTCCGGCTCTGAGCCCTTGGCAGGTCTGCAAAGGGGCATGGGTGGGTCCTAAGACCACCCGTGGCAGAGGGGCTCCAGGAGGCTGGGGGAGGGTCTCACCATCTCCATGATGAGGTGTCCACACACGCTACACTTGTCAGCTGTTTGCTGGAACCCGGAGTACTGAGAGGAGACAAAGGATCCAGAATGTCCCGTGACAAAGGGGCCCTCGCTGCCCAGCCGGCACCTGCTCCTGGCCCCAGGTCTCCACATGGAGCAGGAGGGTCACCTCCCCTGCTCTCACCCACGGTGGCCGGGACCCAGCTCTGACTCACCAGGAAGTCCTCCTGGCAGTAGACTTTCTCACCCACGTTGTAGAACGCCTTCCCTCGAAGTCGTCTGCCTGCAAGGACAAGGATCGAGAAGGGGGTCGGTGGGCCGCTGGAACCCGGGGAGGGAGCCCCTGCTTCCATTTCTCAGGACTCTTCTCCGACAGATGAGAAGCAGATTATGGGCAAATTTTAACATTTCCCTTTAATATTAGGTTACTACTGTGCTAATAATAAATATTTTTTAAGAAATTAAACAGAACACATTGACAAGATTATTATAATATATATTATATATATCTGAGCAAATATATGAAGGGAGTGTTTTTCAAATGTAAACTGTTCTGGTTAATTTTTAAAAATACATTTGTTTCAGGGATGCCTGGGCAGTGCAGTTGTGGACTCCTGGGTTCGGCTCAGGTCGTGAGATCGAGCCCCGCATCAGGCTCCCCCCAGGTCTCTGTCTTTGTCTCCGTCTCTCTCTCCCTCTCTAAAATCAATCAATCAATCAATCAATCTTGTAAAAATTAAAAAAGAAAAAAAAAAAAGATTCTCAGTGGGACTGAGAGCAGATGTTCCAGAATGCACTGCCATCAACTGTGAACATCAGGACAACTCTCACCAGGTAAGAAAGCCCTAGTGAAAGAGGTGTCCTTGTCAAAGCAGGGGCCCCAGCAGACCTGGCAATGCCATTAGAGGCATCCCATCAGAGTCGGGAGGAAGACCACAGTGCCTGACCAGGAACAGGAGCGAGCCTCCTCCCCTGATAAGGGGCACCTGCGAGAAACCATCAGCGGACACCAGACATCAGGGTTGAACATGACATGCTCTTCCCCAGGGGATTCAGCACTGGACTGGAGGCCCAAGCAGTGCAATAAGGCAAGGGAAAAAAATTTTTTTTTTAAATTAGGGGTGCCTGGGTGGCTCAGTGGGTTAAGCCTCTGCCTTCGGCTCAGGTCATGATCTCAGAGTCCTGGGATCGGGCCCCGCATCGGGCTCTCTGCTCAGCAGGGAGCCTGCTTCCTCCTCTCTCTCTGCCTGCCTCTCTGCCTACTTGTGATCTCTGTCAAATAAATAAAATCTTAAAAAAAATTTTTTTTTATAAAAAAAAATAGTCCCATAAATATTTCAGTAAACACACACATGGGAAAGCGAAGTCTTTTCAGCACATAGTGCTGTGACAACTGGAGGACAAAAATGAAATACGGAACAAAAATGAAACTCAATTCCTAACCTCACACTATACATAAAAGTATAATATGAGGGGGGCGCCTGGGTGGCTTAGTCAGGTAAGCACCTGACTTCGGCTCAGATCATGATCTCGGGGTCTTTTTTTTATTTATTTAAGATTTTATTTATTTATTTGACAGAGAAATCACAAGTAGGCAGAGAGGCAGGCAGAGAGAGAGGGAAGCAGGCTCCCTGCTGAGCAGAGAGCCTGAATCAGGGCTTGATCCCAGGACCCTGAGGTCATGACCTGAGCCGAAGGCAATGGCTTAACCCACTGAGCCACCCAGGCACCCCATGATCTTAGGGTCTTGAGAACGAGCCCCACGCCAGGCTCCCTGCTCAGCTGAGTCTGCTTCTCCCTCTCCCTCTGCCACATCCTCCTCCCCAGCTCGCTCTCACACACTCTTGCTTTCAAATGAATAAATAAAATCTTTAAAAAAAAAAAAAGTATAGGGGTGCCTGGGTGATTCATTCGGTTAAGCATCTGTCTTCAGCTCAGGTCATGATTCCAGGGTCCTGGGTTCGAGTCCCACATCAGGCTCCTTGCTCAGTGAGGAGCCTGCTTCTCCCTCTGCCTGCCGCTCCCTTTATTTGTGCACCCTCTCTCACAAATGAATAAATAAAATCTTTTTTAAATAAATAAATAAGAAGAAAATAGAGGCACGCCTGGGTGGCTCAGTCGGTTGTGTCCGACCCTTAATCTCAGCTCAGGTCTTTCTCTCAGGGTCGTGAGTTCAACCCCCACACTGGGCTCCATGTTGGGTCTGGAGCCTACTTAAAAAATATATATATATACTATGAGAAAATATTCACAAAACATCTGAAAAGAACTTGTACTCAGGATATACATATTCTTACAACTAAGTAATAAAAGACTTAAAGTAACTTTCAATTCAGGGGCACCTGGGTGGCTCAGTGGGTTAAGCCGCTGCCTTCGGCTCAGGTCATGATCTCAGGGTCCTGGGATCGAGTCCCGCATCGGGCTCTCTGCTCAGCAGGGAACCTGCTTCCCTCTCTCAATCTCTCTCTCTCTCTCTCTCTGCCTGCCTCTCTGTCTACTTGTTATCTCTCTCTGTCAAATCAATAAATAAAATCTTTTAAAAAAAATAAAAAAATAAAAAGTAACTTTCAATTCAAAAGCTGAGCCAAAGACCTGAACAGACTTCATAAAAGAAGATATAAATGGCCAAGAAGCAGACAAAGAGCTCCTCAACCTTATTAGTCATCAGGGAAACGCAAATTAAAACCATAAGATATCACTTCACATCCATCAGAATGGCTAAAATTAAAAAGACAAAAATACCAACTGTTGGCAAACATGTAGAATAACCAAGTCTCTAACATTTCTAGTGGGAGTATGAAAATGGCACAACCCCTCTGGAAAACGCTGGCAGTCTCTTACGAAGTTAAACATACACTTAGCCTCTGACCCAGAAATTCCACTCCTTGGAATTTACCCGAGAGAGAAAGGAAAACATTTGTCCACAAATGACCTGTACGGGAATGTTCACAGCACAATCTATCAGTGTGTGAATATACCACAAGTTACACACACAAGAAAATCCTACTCAGCAGTAGAAAGGAGTGAGCTACTAATATGTGGGTTAGGGGCGCCTGGCTGGTGACTCTTGATCTTGGGGTTGTAAGTTTGAGCCCCACGTTGGGTGCAGAGGTTACTTAAAAATAAAATAAAATCTAGAGGGGCGCCTGGGTGGCTCTGCCTTCAGCTCAGAACCTGATTCCAGGGTCCTTCTCCCGCTCCCTCTGCCTGCTGCTCCCCCCTCATTGTGCTGTCTGTCCAATAAACAAATAAAATCTTTAAAATAAACAAATAAATAAAATCTTTGAAAAATGACACAGAGGTGGGGGGCGCCTGGGTGGCTCAATCGGTTAAGCGTCTGCCTTCAGCTCAGGTCATGATCCCAGGTTCCTGGGATCGAGCCCCGCATCGGGCTCCCTGCTCAATGGAGAGCCTGCTTCTCCCTCTCCCTCTACCTGCCGCTCTGCCTACTTGTGCTCTCTCTCTCTCTGTCAAATAAATAAAATCTTTAGGGAAAAAAAAAAGACCCAGGGATTTTTAAAAAATAACTAAATGTTTAGCAAAAAAAAAAAAAAAGTCAGCCATAAAATAGTATATAATATATGACTTCATTTATATGAAGTTCTAGAAGAGACAAAACTAATCCGTGGTGGTAGAAATCGGAACACTGATCGGGCAGGTGTGATGGGAAACACTGGGCATCACCTAAAAAAGGGCAAGATTAGAGTTTCCAGGGTGTTCAAATTTCTCTGTATCCTTGTTAGGGGTGTGAGATACATAAAAGTACATATGAATCCAAAGTCTTTGAACTACACACTTTAGATCTGTAAATGGAACCCAGTTACACACACACACAAAGATAAACTGGAAACATCTCATGCCAGAGTAAAGAAGTGCTCCAAGACCGATGGAGGCTTGCCAAAAGGGCACACGGACCAACTCGAAGGAACCTCTTCTGGCCAAATTTGAGCATCAAAGAGAGTAAGGGCTGTATTGCAAAACATGGTGTGTGTGAATAAAAGTCCATGAGTAAAAAAATGCTCGTAAAAGAAAAACAATTTTCCCTCTCTTCAAGTTTAAAACTTCCCTTACTAAAGTTTTAAAATACTCCTTGGAGGGGCGCCTGGGTGGCTCAGTGGGTTAAAGCCTCTGCCTTCAGCTCAGGTCATGATCTCAGAGTCGACTCAGGTCATGGTCTCAGGGTCCTGGGATAGAGCCCCACATCGGGCTCTCTGCTCAGCAGGGAGCCTGCTTCCCCACCTACTTGTGACCTCTCTCTGTCCAATAAATAAATAAAATCTTAAAAAAAAATAAATAAAATAAAATGCTCCTTGGGGAAATCCCCCTCCACACAGACCTCACCCGATTCCCATGGACACACTTCCAAAATCAAAAATGATGCGAACATGGGAAGAGACAAGGTATCACGACCAAGAGTGAGAAGAAACAATAAATAATTGAAGTAGGACTTCAAAGACATCAGATATTGAGATTATTAGATACAGAATATGTGTATTTAACATGCTTGCAAAAAAAAAAACAGATGTCCAAATCCCGAGACTACAAAGACTTCTTGGACAGAATGTTAAAAGCGATAACTAAAAACAAACAAAGATAAATTGGACTTCCTAAGAATCGCTCTTCAGCAGAAGATGTCATTAAGAAAGTAATAAAGCAAGAATAGGTTAGGAAGGGGCGCCTGGGTGGCTCAGTGGGTTAAGCCTCTGCCTTCGGCTCAGGTCATGATCTCAGGGTCCTGGGATTGAGCCCAGCATTGGGCTCTCTGCTCAGCGGGGAGCCTGCTTCCTCCTCTCTCTGCCTGCCTTTCTGCCTACTTGTGATCTTTCTCTGTCAAATAAATAAATAAATAAAATCTTTAAAAAAGGATAGGTTAGGAAAAGAATTTACAACACATATCCAACACAGAACTCAGTATCCAAGACATGTACAGAACTCCTACAAATCAATAAAAGCCAAACAACCCAATTTAGAAATGGGCAGAAGACTTCAACAGTCATTTTACAAACAAAGGCATTCAAATGGCCAACGGACATGAAAAGGTATATGAGTCTTCACTACTCATCAGAGAAATTCACATTAAAATCTCATTAAAATACCATGCCAGGGGCACATGGGTGGCTCAGTGGGTTGGGCCTCTGCCTTTGGCTCAGGTCATGATCTCAGGGTCCTGGGATCGAGCCCCACATCGGGCTCTCTGCTCAGCCGGGAGCCTGCTTCCCCTACCCACCCCCCCGCCTGCCTCTCTGCCTGTTTGTGATCACTCTCTGTCAAATAAAAAAATTA